GAGCATCTCAAACAAACTTCAGACCTTCATTAACAGTTGTCTTCGCTCAATACTACTCAAGATCAGATGGCCGGCCAGAAAAGAACAGCAACAGGGATCTTTGGCAATGAGCGAACCAATCAGGAACCGATTGTGAAACAAATAGTTAGGAAGAAATAGAGATGGATTGGCCATACACTGAGGAAACCATCAAGTGACATCACTAGACAAGCCATTGCTCGAGTGGAACCCGAAAGGGAGGTGGCGAGTTGGTCGTCAGTGCAAGGGTGACTTTGAGGAGGTCATGCGATGAGGAGATGAAAGCATGTGGACAGACCTGGAGCGGGGTGAAAAAGTTGTCAGAAAACAGAAGGCGATGGAGGTGCGCAGCTGAAGCCCTATGTTCCTCTAGGAACTAAAGGATACAATAATAATAATAATCATAGTAGAATTTGTAAAAACCCATTAGTCATTGGATTTCCCTTAAGTATCTGAGTTTTGTACCAAGCGTGACTGATAACCTGATATTCTTGGACTCTGTTTCTGTTGATACCCAATGAAAATTTTCAAAGACTGATTAGTGGACAACGAATATTCACATTTTCGATAACTTCTTCATAAGTTTCTATTGTTATATGTCCATAGTTATAATAATAATAATAAAAGAATTATTGTTTTGGACACTGTTAAGAATCAAATTACAAAGGCATCTGTGAGTCATAGTATGGATCAGTATCACGCTAACCTAATTATCAGATAAATTAAAAAAATATATAAAACAGAAGTTGTGAATTTATAGGCTCCACAGCAGGCTATACCTGTTGTTTCGAGTGTTTTAAGCGAAATGCAATGACCGCTAGTGTCTGAAATATTCGGTACCTTGAGGAGGATTTCGGTGGTTTATTTCGTACCCGTTAGATGATAGAAGAACATTCTTCAGCACTTTAGCTTTATGAGTCGTTTACCACAGATCTGATCCAATATTGTACTGTTAGTGGTTTTCGCCACGCTTTTATTTAGCCATAGTAATAATAATAAAAATTAAGTTCTTAGAGCGAAGACCAACACAACAACTGGCCACACAAGAAAATTTGAATTGATGAGAGATCATTGAAAGCCACGACGGATCACTGAACGGTTGTTTCGTCCTATTTTGGGACTATTCAGAAGTGCGCACCCGACATCTCATCTACTAAGAATCGGACCCTAAACGATTGGGTTACGAGACCAAATCTCGTTGACTAATTCAACCACTTCATCTGGAATCCAATGACCTCAGGCTTTCAGTGATCTTTCTAACATGATGTTGCTGGCTCGTGACATAAATCCTGGACCTTATGGTTACAAGACTAGCGAGCTCGTAGATCATTAAGCCACTGGGAGCCGATCCAACGGCCAACCCATGAGAAAAATGATGTCACATCCCACTGTATTTACCAATTTGAATATACGTGTGGACACACATAGATAGGGAGGACTCATCAATCTCTGCAACTAAGAGCTGGCTTCAGAGCATATTCCTAAGTGGCTCGAGAAACAAATGGAATCTTCAGAACCCATTAATAGTGAGAGCGGGTGACCTAGCTCCTCTACTACGAAACAAATTACAGAAACAGGAGGTGAAATTGATGTTAACAGATCTTTTAAACCTATCTATAGAACGTGTTTGGAGCGTACCCTAAAGTTCGTGGAAGCCCTAGCAATTAGGAATTTTAAACCACCTTTATACGTTCAAAAACAATTTATCATCACATTAAACCTTCTTTAGTAAATTTTGTTTTTATACCACAGCAGATGCACTATTACCTCTACTATTTGGTTTAGTGGTCGTTATTTGTTATGTTCACCTTGAATATGTCCTTTTAATGTGACCTAAGTTTATTTTCTCACCTGTTAAGGCTTTGTTAATTTCATATATATTCCTGTGACAAATCTGTGTGTGATCAGATTGTTCGAAATGTGTTGTACAAATACAACATTACATGATTCAGACAAATTACGTCTTCTGATTGCTTTATGTAAATGTAACAATTGTAATTACTCGAAAATCTACACAATTCATATACTGTAGAGTGAGAAGCATCATGGAACTAGAACTAAGGAATTGGGCTTCGGTCTGAGGGTGGTGGTATAGGGGAGATCATGTAGGGGAGAGAAGTAGAGGAAACCTTGTATACACAAATGTGGAGCCAGCTAAAAAGACACCGGAGAACAGAGTTAAAGTTAGATGTTGTGCTGCTCCTGATGACCCCACTCTAAAAAGTTTACAATGAAATCTATCTTACATCTTTATATCTGTATAAAATAACAATAATTAATCGTTTTTCCTTCACGTTCCCAGTGGAACATAGGGCCTCAAGCTAGTGGCTTGAAGTTTCTGTAGCAGTGTTTATTTCTACAGGATGAGGTTGCTAGCCTCATACCACCATTTTTTCTGGCTTAGCGAGGTAAAGGAGTGCGTCAGCCGGGATGGAACCTCTGACCATGTGCATGGTTGGCGAGCGTCCTAACCGCTATGCTACGGACATATATATATATATATATATTGGTTTTTTTCCTAACTCACTACCAACAGTAGAAATTTAAAAGATGTGACTTCCTTCACATTAAATAGCTAGCCGGCATCATCTAAACTATAAGCGGAGATACGGATCAGAAATGTCAAAACCGAAATCGGAAAGACAAAACAAATGGGGCATCACAGTGAATTCAATTTGGAAATCTTCTGCACTCAACCAGTAACAACAAAATCCGGATTTTCAACACTAATGTGGCGTCGGTCAGTCAGTTCTCCTGTATTGGTTAGAAAGTTGATGATGATCAAGTGACTGACTGGTGAGAAACAGGGAGGAAACAATCCAGAGCCTATTGTTCAACGAATATCCCGAAGATAATGGAGTTGGATCGGGCACAAACTAAGGAGACCGTTGGGTAACATCATAGTGCTGGAGTAGAAGGTGATTGGGAAACAAGTAGTTCGGCGTGGGTTTGAGGGTGACATACAGGAGATGTGATATCTTATGGACAGTCGTGGGGCGAAGTGTAGAGAACTGCAGATAACGTGGTAGAGTGTAAATGTTCGGCTGAAGTCCTATATTCCATTCGGAAGCAAAGGGAATAATAATAATAATAACAGTTCATTTGCTTATCATAAAGGTTTTTTGTATTTCCCAATAAATGACTAGACTGCCTGGCTAGTTAAGAGAAGGGAAAACGGACATTTTAATATATCTGTATTCAGGGAGAAAACCCAATCCAGCAACAAATATTTAGACTTCAAATCATCACACCCTACATCAGCGCAAAGATTTCAGTTGTTTTAAGTCTTCTTAGATAAGCACACTCTCTGATAACGGATGAGAAAGAAAACTGAAGAAGAAATATCAAACATTACTGAAACTCTCAAGCAAAACAAACTACTACCCAAGTAACTTCATCAACAAAATCAACGCAGACATTAAGTATGACCGAAATACGCATTCTGAAAACATGAACCTCAACAGTCGTCATTCCATATAGATCAGAGATGTCAGACTATATCAGGAGAGTACTCAATCAAAACACCAGACACATAGTGAAAAGCGACCTTGTCCATGTGGAAAGATCAAATGCCAAAAGATTCTCTTTCTAATTGTGTCTATAAAATAAAATGCTTCCTTGGAATGTGATGCGATATACATCGGACAAACATTGCTATAGAGAAATCAAAATCAGAATAAATGAACACTGTAGAGCATCTGTTCGATCACCGAGAAATCCAGTTAGTGAACTAGAAAAGCTTGAAAAATCATCAACCATAAGTCGTCTACACTCTACGCTGTAGAATTAGACCACAAAATTCAAACAGTTCCAAAGAAACCTGTCTATATCAATTTGCCATTCAAAGGAGATGACGTACAAGAAGTAGTGAAACGAAAACTCGACAAAGCCATCAAGAGAAATTATTATGCTGCAAAACTTGTTATCCTTAACACCACCACCACCAAGCGAGTGCTTCAACAATCTGGGAAAGACCAGTCGCCAATCCTCGACACTTCAAACTGTATATATCAATTTGAGTGTGTGGTTGTGGCAGCAAATACGCATAGGTCGTACGGAAAGGCGATTGTCTACTCGCATGATGGAGCATTTGCCAAAATGGTTGAAAACAGCTGAGTGCAAAGTCCCGAAATCCTCAATAACAAAACATCTCGTGGATTACGGACATGATATCGACGCCGTCAAGTCATTCACCATCGTCAGCAAACAAAGAAACAAGAAGATGCTTGCAATTGCAGAGGCTTGTGCAATTCGAATTTACAAACCAGCTCTCTGTATACAAAAGGAGATGGTCGTCACTCTGAATCTACCATGGTAATACGCTTTACTTATTATTCTCTACTTGTTATTACTATCATTCTACCTCTTCTTCTTCTTATTTTTGTTATTATTACTGTCATTATTATTATTATTCTTGATTCATTTAAATCTATGCTTTACTCGTAAGATTATCTTAACTCACTTCAACACTATCAAAATTGTTATTATAACTATTACTATTAATATTACTCTGTTTGCAATTCTCGTTATATTCCCTAATGACTAATTGTTTATCTAAGTGATGTAATTGAAGCGTAATGCAATTTATCTTAATTTCGATCTCTCATACTCTCTCTCTCCCCTTATCTATTTGAACATGACCTGGAAAATATTCGCACCTGTCTCTCTGCATGATTAATTCAATGTAGTTTGTTTACTTATCAGTCTTATATCTCCCTATGTAATTTTAAAAGTATATATATCCGTGTATGTAGAATATTCAGCTGACGAGTTCTACCGAAATTTGATGAATTAATTAAATCATCCTGCTTTATTAACCTGCTTTATTGCTTGTTTTAAACACAACAATATCGTTTAGTTTTCCATTCATTCATTCATTCATTGGGAAATACAGAAAAACAACTTTTATTGTAATGTTCATTCGCTTAGTTTTTCACAGAAATTTCCCATCTCTTTATGTGTTCACATACTTTCTTTTACAGAGTGCCCTCCTGATCGCATCGATTCTATTGAACGCCGGTGCTGTCGACATCAACAATCAATTATTAATATATTCAATCAATAAATCCTATCACAAATTCACTGGCCTACTGTTAAGCCATCAAACATTAAGCTTGAATAAATTGAATGAGAATCCTAAAATACTACTTTGCAAAATATCCAGTTGCAGGTCAGTTGAAGCAAATACTGATTCAAAGTATGCCTGTGCTGATGTAGCCGTTACTGGACGCCTGAATCTTGCCAGTCGACCATTTCATCCTTCAATTATTCCAAATTGCTTTTGGTATTTCAATCCAGTAATACCGTTATGGTTTAAAGTCATTGAGAATGTATCGAAATTGTTCTTCAGTGGCGAAACTCTGACGTCGTCATCTTCTGTTATTTCAGAAGACAATAACACCACTCTTGATGCGCTGTATCAGAGTATCAACCAGCAGCTTGTTGTGTCATTGCCTTCGCCATCATTTACCAGGAAGTATTTAGATAATGTCGCCTGTCAAATAATTACACGTATCAATCTATCGAATTGTGGTTTACAAACACTTCCATGGTGTTTATTTTGTTGTCTTAAAAATTTAAAGGTAAATTTTTTTTTTTGAATGAAGCGCGTTTTGTTATGAATAAGATTTTTTTTATTGTGATATAAATCACACAGTGTTTGTTGTACAGTAAGATTAACTGATGCGACCACGTTGCGAGGACAAATTATTATCGCAGCTCATAATCATATCAAGGCACTACTCACACAACGTTTTTTCCGCTTCATTTATATACATGACTTAAAATTGATGATTAGACACATTTGAATCAAATCAGTAATATGAGTATTATCGACCAAATACAATCAGATGGGAAATAAGATGTTTTTATAGTCAAATAAATAAGTAACTTTTTAGAATGTAAACTGAATACATTTTGACATTATTTATTATCCTCCTCTGATTTGACTGACTGGTGGTAATAATATCCTCCATTGATATCTTTGGTATTTGCAATGAGTCATTTCTGTTGCATGTGTTGTCTGTCTGTCTGTTTTCGACATAGAACTTTGCACAAATGTGCGACAGTTCAAGTCGCCACATTCTGTGTAGCACGCGAAGCAAGAGAAGAAAGTACAAGAAAAGCATAATAGAAACAGTGACCAGAGGTGTGAGACAAAGGAGTAATAAAGAAATACAAAACAGTTTCATTGAAGATCATAAGTCACAAGGAGTGGATGCATCTGCGCTAGCCACTGAGAACGATGAGTTTGAGCCATGTCACCAATTGTTTCCAACCATAGATTTTTACCGTCCCGAGGACCCCAACCAGTCAGGAAGTCTACACCTTTCTACGTGGCTTAGACCAACTGTTGTGGATTTCATTGACTGATGCCAAGTTTTTGTTTGACCGCCGCTGGCTAGCTTTTTTCCAGCCTGACCCTATATCCGCTAACATTGCCCATTGTCGAGGGAGGCGATGGCTTGGCATACGTAACACATGTCCTAACCATCTCAGTCTTTGTAACTTCACGACTTCGTCGATTGATTTCCCCTGTTTACCTAGAACTCTACGCCTAACCTCAATGTTGCTCACCTTATTATGCCACTTTACACGGGAAATAGAACGCAGGCACCTATGATCAAAGACAGCTAGTCTTTTCATGTCTTCCACTCTCAGTGACCAGGTCTCACAACCATAAAGGAGGACGGAGCGGACTGATGAGCAGTACACCCGCCCTTTGGTCGATAGTCGAACATTTCGTCTACGCCAGAGTCGGCGTAAACTAACAAATGCGAAACGAGCCCCTTGTATTCGTGCTGAGATTTCGTCAGTGTTGGGTGTAGACTCGATGAACCAGACAGGATTCAGTAATCACTCTCTCTCTCTCTCGTCCTACCTATATTACTCTTTAGAATTTTGATTCTGTCCCACCATCATATTGTGTGATTGTGTGTTAATGCATGCAGCATAATCGCTGAGCTCGTCTCTAAATTACTTATTTTCTCGGGTTAACCATTCTCACCTTAGCTAAATTCTTATGTTCTGACAATCTGACTACTCCTGATCTACTAGTTTGACTGACCGATGTAGTTGACTGAACTCACAGTCATTGCAAGGTATTTTGTCTCTGAGTCTGGAGAGAATAAAACAAGCCCTGGATGCAAAACTCCGACCGGAACAAGCTGGATTCAAGAGAAACAAGTCGTGTATTGATCGAATCGCCACACTACGGATCATCATTGAGCAAAGCTTGGAATGGCAGTCACCTCTCCACCTCACTCAACTTCATCGACTTTGAAAAGGCCTTCGACAGCGTCGATCGAGAGGTGATTCGGCAACTACTTCGCTACTACGAGGTGCCATCGACAATTATACATCTCATCCAACAGTTATACGACAATGCTGCATGCCAAGTAATCCACAACGGGAAACTTACGGAAGCCTTCGAAGTAAGGACGGGAGTAAGACATGGCTGCCTACTATCACCAATGATTTTCCTGATTGCAGTAGATTGGATAATGCGACAGACAACGGCAACCAACGAGGGAAAAGGCATAAAATGGACTCACACAAAAAACTTGGCGGATCTGGACTTCGCCGATGATATATGTCTGGTTTCCCACAAGCTGGAAGATATGCAAGTGAAAAGCAACAAGTAGGTAGAAGAAACATCGAAGATAGGAGTTCAGGTGAACATAGATAAAACATAGGTGATGAAGATTCTTGGCCAACACCAACAGCAACAGCAACAACAGACAACAATCAGCATAAATGGGATAAACCTGAAGGAAACAACCTCCCTCACCTACCTGGGAAGTATCGTTTCAACTACAGGCGGAACTGATGAGGATATCAAAGCCAGAATCGGAAAAGCAAGACAGGCTTTCATTACCCTTAAGTCTGTGTGGAAGTCAACAGCACTCAGCATCAAAAATAAGATCCGGATTTTCAACTCCAATGTAAAATCAGTGCTTCTATACGGATCAGAGACTTGCACTGCGCGTCATAAAGAGCATCTCAAACAAGTTTCAGACCTTCATCAACAGCTGTCTTCGCTCAATACTGAAGATCAGATGGCCGGCCAGAAAAGATCAGTAACAGGGATCTCTGGCAATGAGCGAACCGGTTGTGAAACAAATAGGCAGGAAGAAATGGAGATGGATTGGCCATACACTGAGGAAACCATCAAGTGACATCACTAGACAAGCCATTGCTCGAGTGGAACCCGAAAGGGAAGCGGTGAGTTGGTCGTCAGTGCAAGGGTGACTTTGAGGAGGTCATATGAGGAGGAGATGAAAGCATGTGGACAGACTTGGAGCGGAGTGAAAAAAGTTGGCAGAAAATCGAATGCAATGGAGATGCGCAGCTGAATCCCTATGTTCCTCTAGGAACTAAAGGATATAATAATAACACTGTGAGACTTTATCAGAATAAATTTCACCCACAATGAAATTAAATTATATCACATTGCACAGGTTCTATTCTTATGTCAACAGAGTAATTTAACCACATTCTATGCATGTGAGCATTTAGGTCTTCTAACCCTAACAACAACCCTAATCTTTCCTGAACCTAATTCTTACGTGAAAATATCCCTAAACTAACTGGAATCTAACTCGAACCAACCCTAATGTCGCTTTTGTTAGATTAACCTAACCCTAACTTGTCCTTTGCTTAAACCTCAGCTTCATCTTTCCCAAACGTAAGCTGAAACTTGCCAGATATCCCATTTAATAGCATAACACGCTTCGACGAGCATATTTTATTGATGATGACATTTTAATTTGTCGGATTCCACAAACTTGCTCAGTGGGCTTTGCAAGGTCATGGGTGCAGTTGCACTCCATTGGTAGTTTTTTTATTCCTTCACGTTCCCAGTGGAACATAGCGAGGGCTTCAAGCTAGAGGCTTGAGGTTTCTGTAGCAGTGGTCTTTATTTTTGCAGGATGGGGTTGCTAGCCTCATGCCCAACCTTTCCTCCTCACCAGCTTTATTTCTGGCTTAGTGAGGTAAAGGAGTGCCTCGTAGGTCGGGACTCGAACCCAGGGCCATATGCATGGTCGGTGAGTGTCCTAACCGCTATGCCATCGATGCGCATTGGTAGTTAGTGGTGCTTAAAGTTTAACTTGGCCAAATAAACATCACGGCTATCGAAACTTTAAGCCTCTAGCTTGAAGACACCTGATGTTCCATTGGGAACGTAAAGGAATCGAAAAAAAACTTTGAAGACAATTCAATTTGTCGCCATCTCATGTCTCCTTGTTTCTGCTTTTTTATTTCAGGAATTAGATTTAAGTAAGAATTGTATCAAAAAGTTACCGAAACGACTGCCCAGTGTTCCGGCTTCATATCGTCAATGTCTATGGCAACCATGTTGTTGGACGTACAGCCTTACTTACTTGGACCTATCAGAGAATCATCTTCAGTACCTTCCCACCTGGTTATTTATCAATAAAACTGAATCTACCAACACGCTGACATCATCCTCCAATGAAGAGAAGTTGTTGAATGGGAACGGGAACTCTAGGAGAGGCAGAGAAGGAGGAGATATTCAGTCGATATGCCCAAATTCAAATAATAACTGTATTCCACGAATTCGTCATCGATGCTATTCTGAGAATGATGCTGACTCTGCGAATAGTTTCAGTATACGTTATAAAATTATGTCGCATGATTCATTTGCACCAAATCTATTATATCTGTTGCTTTCAAGAAATGAACTTCAAAAAATACCCTGTGCAGTATGGTCTAATAGCGTGATAGAATTTCTTGATTTAAGTTGGAATAAAATAGGCTACCTGCCTATGCCATTTATGCTGAAGGCGCAATTTGAACAGTCTAGACAACTGTATAGAGAATCATTGAATATGAAGGTGAGTGAATTCATATTTATGTATACCATTTTTTTTCCTTCACGTTCTCCAGTGGAACATAGTATCTGTCTGTCTGTCTGTTTTCGACATAGAACTTTGCACAAATGTGCGCCAGTTCAAGTCGCCACATTCCGTGTAGCACGCGAAGCAAGAGAAGAAAGTACAAGAACAGCATAATAGAAACAGTGAGCAGAGGTGTGAGACAAAGGAGTAATAACGAAGAGCAAAACAGTTTCATTGGAGATCATAAGTCACAAGGAGTGGATGCATCTCCGCCACTGAGAACGATTTTGAGCCATGTCACTAGTTGTTTTCAACCATAGATTTTTACCGTCCCGAGGACCCCAGCCTGGAAGTCTACACCTTCCTACGTGGCTTAGACCAACTGTTGTGGATTTCATTGACTGGTGAAGCCAAGTTTTTGTTTGACCGCCGCTAGCTTTTTTCCAACCTGACCCTATATCCGCTAACATTGCTCGTCGAGGGAGGCGATGGCTTGGCATACTTAACACATGTCCTAACCATCTCAGTCTTTGTAACTTCACGACTTCGTCGATTGACTTCCAGGAACATAGTATGGCTTCAAGCTAGTGGCTTGAAGTTTCTGTAGCCGTGTTTACTTTTACAGGATGGGGTTGCTAGCCTCATGCCCAACTTTCCCTCTTTACCAGCATTATTTCTGGCTCAGCGAGGTAAAGGAGTGCATCGGACGGGAATTGAACCCTGGATCATGTGCATGGTCGGCGGGCGTCCTAACCGCTATGCCACCCACGCCGATATATATATATATATAAATATATATATATATATATATAGTGCCTAGATATACGTACGCAAATAAACACATCCATAATAAGAATAAGAATAAGGGGCGTAATAGTTGGAGTAATCATGAGAGTGAGACAACAGAGAATGTGAAGAGGTAAAACGATGTGCTTGAATGTCTACATATTAATTGTGCATGAGATTTTAAGGGGATAGGTTTTAGAAATCAGTCCTTATGTCGTTACATAATTGTCCAGCCCTCACTTTAAGCTGTCTACAGATGATTCAGCAGCCTCATCTACCGGTAGAGAGTTCTATGGGCGTCAAACTCGAAGTGAAAAGAAATAAGAGTGCACTTCAGGGTATGCTCCCCCGTCTCCCGGTAAGCTATCCTTTGTGGATTACCACAGGGAAGCCCAAAATCACTTAATGACAGAATACCTTTGTTTGGGTGATTCTGGTCATTTGTAATCTTAAAGGCAGTAATTAGGTCCAAGACGACAGTAGCTAAATGTGAAAGGACCTAATTTCTTTAACCGTTCATCATATGGTTTGTTTCGGAGATTCATCACCCCTTTTGTCTCCCGTCTTTGCACTATTTTACAGAAGGTTCACGTCTCTTCTAAGCAGTGGGTAAGCACTAATACTGTGCACTTCAAAGTGTGGTCTGGCGTATGTTTTGTAAAACCCTAGAGAGCTCAGGACTGAGTGCATCTGACTGTTTATGTGTAAAGTGTATGACCGCATGTGCCCTCGCTACATTACCCGTGTAATTCTCGTTCGTTTCTATTTTTTCGTTACAATCCGAATTTATGCAGGACAAGCTTTCATTGCACATGGTGTAATTTGCATCCTGCGGTCTATATGTGCAAATTTCACTACTTTGCACTTTTCAGCTTGAAAGCCACGCCACTTGCCACCACCAAGCCTTCCAGAAGCTTTAGATCTGCTTGCAGTCTATCTGAGTCTTCCGAAAACTTTATTGCCCTGCATATCTTCATGTCGGCAGCTTAGACGGCATGGTAGGTCTATAGCCGGTCAGTTAATGATAACTTTTAAGACAGTTTTCGGCTAACACTTGAAAGAACCACGTATAGTTCACTAGCTTTGGCTATTCCAGGATGATTCGATTTTATAAAATATAAACATCTTAGCAAAGTCTGGACAGTTTGATTGTCGTTAACGCCTATCAATCAAGAAAATCTCTTCTCAAACTGCAAGGCGCATGAATGTGGTACATAAATCCACCGAACAGGTGTACTATAGCTGTAGTGAAATTCTATACTGGTTACTAAATTTCACCGTTTCAGAGGAGTGTTTATGCAGAATTCACTCGGCCAAGCACTGTCGCCATTTCACGTGATGTCACCCTTCACTCAATTGCTTCTGGACCATAACCACCGGGCTAATCACACACCGTAATTTAGCATCATTGATCCCCGAACAGAAACAACCTAAATGGATACTAACTAGAAGGTTTTTGTTGTTTCACTGAGTGAGATATGACAGACAAGATGAAATATGTGCAGGTATGAGGCGTGGACATCGAGATAATGTTGAGTCGTCTGAACACCTTGAAGAGCTGCAATCTTCGAATGTTTGGTATGGCATGTGACTTGCTCCTGTTGTCAAATGTAAGATGATGGGTGGGGCTACAGGACTGAATTATATTGACTCTTATCTTAGAGATGAAGAGTGAAGTGGTTGATGGGATGTGTTGATTGCAACTTCATTTATTTGGGAAGTTGCATCAGCCAGTGCCAACGGGTTGATCGCTGACGAAATCTCACAACGGATACAGAAGGCTAGTTTCGCATACGCCGTCTCTGGCGTAGATGAGATATCCAGCTGGCTGTCGACCAAAGGGAGTGTGTACTGCTCAGCAGTCCGCTCCGTCCTCCTTTATGGCTGTCAGTTAGACGTGGCCATTGAGAGTGGTAGACAAGAAAAAATACTAGCTGGTTGTCTTTGATCATAGGTGACTGCGTTCTATCTCCCGTGTTAGGTGGTATTGTGGTGAGAGCAGGCTGCTAGCCAATTGGTCGACATTAGTCTACGTCAATGTCTAGGTCACTAATATTGGCCGTGAGAAAATATGAACAAGGCTGATTCAACAACCAATCACAGCAGACTTAAACGTGGGCAAATATGATTCGCAGATAGATAGCTCCACTTTCCGAGAAACTAGAAAACAACCAATGAGAAGACTGAGTTTGTCTACTCGAATAAGCTCTAATAATGTACATAAAATATATATAAATACGTGCTGATTTCCGTAATGAAATGATCTGTTGCCAGCCCTTGTCTTCTGTTGTTACAGTATAATGGGGTGAGTAATATTGAGGTGAAGCATCGGTCGAGTGATAGATATGTGGGAGGGGAAATCAATAGACGAGGGTGTGCAGTTATACCGACTGAGATGGTTAGGACATGTGTCACGCATGTATCCCTAACTAGCCATCGTCTTCCTCGACAACAGTCCATGTTCGCTGCTGACATAGGATGGATCAGTTTAGGACAGGGCTAGCACATGGTGGTCAAACCAAAATATGGCTTCATCAGTCAATGAAATCCACAACGGTTAGTTTAAGTCAGCCAGCCACGTGGGAAGTTGTGGATTTCTTGACTGGTTGGGGTCTTGGGGATAGAAGGAGCCAATGAATGCTGGAGGCAATCATTGATATATCTCAAAATTGTTCTTATTGGCTGGCGCAAATTCATTCATTCTTCATGACTTATAATATCCAATAAAACTCTACTGTTCTTCCATGTTACTGTTCTTTTCCCTTCATACTTCTGTTTATTACCTCTTTTTACTCTTTTCTCTTGCTTTTTGTGCTAAGTAAAGTGTGGCGACTCGAACCACTGTACATCTGTACAAAGTTCTGTGTTGAAATTAATCAGTCAGTCAGTCAGTATGCAAGTATGAAGGTGTTTTGACGTTGGTGCCTTCTTAACACGTGAGTTAACAACGGGTTCAGTGGTTATATGTTGTCCAGTAACACGCTACAAGTGTTCTGGGTTTTTTTTGATGTGGTTTTGTTCTCTGAGCTGGATAGTTAGTTTGCGAAGCTTTCATCACCTTACTGGGTGACATCTTCAGCGCATACTTCAATTTGAAGTGAGCTTTCAGATTTCTCCACGAGTTTATTAATCATCTCTCCTGGTGACCTTGGACGTGATCGATTGTTTATGTGTGTTTTCACATCTTTTAGGTTACTTGCATTGGAACTGACTGTTTCTTTGACTTGAACTTTGGCCCTTTGTGTGTGAAGTTTCTTTCTTATTGGTTGATAAATTTTGTCTATGTCGATGTGTCTATTGATTGATGATTCACTGGAATGCCAAGCTTCTAAAAATTCTCTAGCATTCTTGTTATTTCCTTTGTCTAATATTTGAACGTTGTCCCAGTGGAATTGATGTCCGTGGTTGTCTGTGTGTAGTGAAATGAGGGAGTGTATATCATGTATTTTGACAAAAGCCACCAAGGAAAACACAAAGAAAATCGCCCTACCATATATAAAGGATATCTCAGAAATCACTAAAAGACTCTTCAAACCTTTAGGAATTGACGTCGTACACAAACCAACAAAGTCGCTGCACTCAATTCTATGTCAACCAAAAGACTCAACAGCGAAAGAAGAGAAAACCAACATCATCTACAAAATAAACTGTAACAACTGCGAAAAACACTACATCGGCCAAAGTGGACGTCCCCTTCGTCTTCGTATCCACGAGCATAAGCTAGCCGTCAAAAGACATGATATCCACTCCCTCATTTCACTACACACAGACAACCACGGACATCAATTCCACTGGGACAACGTTCAAATATTAGACAAAGGAAATAACAAGAATGCTAGAGAATTTTTAGAAGCTTGGCATTCCAGTGAATCATCAATCAATAGACACATCGACATAGACAAAATTTATCAACCAATAAGAAAGAAACTTCACACACAAAGGGCCAAAGTTCAAGTCAAAGAAACAGTCAGTTCCAATGCAAGTAACCTAAAAGATGTGAAAACACACATAAACAATCGATCACGTCCAAGGTCACCAGGAGAGATGATTAATAAACTCGTGGAGAAATCTGAAAGCTCACTTCAAATTGAAGTATGCGCTGAAGATGTCACCCAGTAAGGTGATGAAAGCTTCGCAAACTAACTATCCAGCTCAGAGAACAAAACCACATCAAAATTATCCACCTGAGCTACAAATCTTCTCTATCATATCTAAGTGTTCTGGTGTTCGATTCCTCACTGATGACGCATTCATAAATCTCGCTAAGTAGTAGTTCATAGTAAGCCTGGTAAAGAAGAATGCCTAGGAGGCATAAGACTGACTAACTGACTGATTGGTTTCAACGTAGAGCTTTGCACAGATGTGCAACACTTCGAGTCGCCAGACTTCACTCAGCACACAAAACAAGAGAAGAAATGCAAAACAGAGATAATAAACAGAAATATGAGGCAAAAAGAATAGTAATATCGAAGAATCATAAAGTTTTTATTGGATATTATAAGTCACAAAGAGTGGATACATCTGTGCCATCACATCGAGGACGATGCGTTTGACTCATATCACCAAAAGTCTCCACCCTTCAGTGGTGTTTACCACCCCGAGGACCCTAACCAGTCAGTCAGTTTACACCTTCCTACGTGGCTTAGGCTAACTTTTGAGGCTTTTATTGACTGATCCCATGTTTTGGTTTGACCACCACTGTCTCTTTTCCAACCTGACCCTATGTCAGTCGAAGAGAGCGATGGCCGGGGAAGCATACGTAACACATGTCCTAACCATCTCAATCGATATAACTTCACAAACTCATCGATTGATTTCGCCTCCCACCTACCTAGCACTCGACCGATGCCTAACCTCAATATTGCTCACCTTATTATACCACTTCACACGGGAGATAGAACGTAGACACTTATGATCAAAGACAGTTAGCTGGCCTTTTCATGCCTTCTAATCTCAATGACCTGGTTTCACAGCCATAAAGGAGGAAGGAGCGAACTGCTGCTGTGCAGTACATACGTTCTTTGGTCAGCCGCCAGCCATACATCTCGTCTACGCCAGGGATACTGTAAGTTGGCGGCCATATGCGAAACGGGCCTTCTGTATCGTGTTGAAATTTCGTCAGCGATGAATCCGTTGGGGCTGGCTGATAGAACTTCCCAAATAAGCGAAGTGGCCAACACGCTCTACCACTTTGCTTCTTGTCTTTAAGCTCGGAGTCAGGGTAGTCCCACGTCGCCAACTTCATATAGGAGTATTTAACGTCAGGACCCTCTGCCAAATAGGACAACAAGCAACACTAGCAAGAACTCTGGCATCTCGAGCCATGGATGTATGTTGTGTCTCGGAGGCACGCATACAAGATCCGAGTGTGGTCATTCACTTGACCTCACCCAGTCAACAAAGTGAATCTTCAAAATTCACTTTAAGGGTGTCAGGAGACCCCTCAGCTAGCTCGCGAGGACTCGCAAGCGTAGGGATAGCACTGAGTCTTAGAGTGGAAAAATCACTTCTTGACTGGATCCCAGTAGATATTCGTATGTGTGCGGTCCGCCTGAATGGGTCCGTTAAAAGAAGGAAAGACGACGCTACCTGTCGTTGCCTTTTCGTAGTCTCCGCTTACGCCCGAACAGACTGCAGTTCGGATGAACTAAAGGATGACTTCTACCTGAAACTATCTAATTTGCTGCAAAAAGCAAAACGTTCAGATAAAGTTGTTTTAGCAGGCGACTTCAATGTCCAAGTAGGGAAGTTGTGCTAGACTGAGAAGTATATAGGTGGTACGTATGGAGTTCCCTGCCGACGATCCGACAACTGTGATCGTCTTCTACAGTTTTGCTCAGATAATCATCTGTTCCTAGTCGGCACTAACTTTAGGCACAAAGAGATACATTGTGTAACCTGGCGACCTCCATCACCAAATCAACGCTGGACTCAGATAGACCACATAGCGATAGGGTGTCGTTGGTAAGGGTCAGTAGAAGGCTGTCACTCCTTCTGGAACACGTGCGTAGACTCTGATCACGCTCTGGTTCGCACACGTTTATGCTTACGACTAAACGGACATAAGAAATCGACAGCAGCGAAACAGTTACGTCCCCAACTAGATCGAGACACTATTTAAGGAAGAAATAACGAAACGAGTGTCTGAGGTTGACAGCAGAACTTCCCCTGAGGTAACCTGGGACAAACATACAGTTAGCTGTAGACACCGCTGTAAAAGCTGTTAATGAGCTAAAACCAAAGGTTAGTAAAATGCCTTTGGATCTCTACCGCCTCATCCGAACTGATTGACGCAAGAAGACTGATTCTGGCGAGCTCCGATTATGATGAGGGGCGAAAGCTACTCAAACGAAAACTAACAAGAAGCCTTCGCAACGATCGTGAACAGTGGTGGGCGACAAAAGCGAAAGGGGTGGAAAAGGCATCGCGATTGTTATAGGAGTGGACTGGACTACACTGACTCCCAGTTTAGAGATAGGGAGTGAATTGGTAGATCACGTTGATCGCTTCACTTATTTGGGAAGTACCATCAGCCAACACCAACGGGTTGATTTCTGACGAAATCTCAGTACGGATACAGAGGGCGAGTTTCACAAATGCCAGTTTACGCCATCTCTGGCTTAGTAGTAGGCGTGATATCCAGCTATTGATTTCGTCCGTTACACCTCAGCTGGGACTTACATAACTACCTAGATACACGAAGTTGTTGACGACTTCAGGTGGTTCACCTGAAGGCCTGAGTTTAGGTGCAGGTTTCTGCCAGGCTCCATTGCTGCTCAGTTCTCAGTAGTTCTCTTTTAAATGTTATTTAGTGACTAAATTTAACTTACTAGAAAATTGTTTGAATCACTGCTTTTTTCTGAGTTATGCAGCAAAAACTGAAATATCTAGAATATTTCCTCTTAACATTTAATGCCTGTTATATCCACCTATAGTGCGTCGGTACGTTTAGTTGTAGAATAGTTACCAGTCAACACAGTGCAGGTGGCCTAGGTTGGATTTCATGCGGACGACTCTTTCCTTAACTTTTCTAGGCCAACAGTAAGTCCAGTAAAGAGGGAGAGATTGAACTAACCTCTAGCAACTTGACCCCGTTAAAAATATCATACTATCGCTATTGAAACTTTACAGTTAACACTGTATGCTCTGAGTTCCACTTCGGATGCAAAGGTATGTAGAAAAGATTTCCAATTATTATGCAAAGATCTTTTCAAAGAACTGTATTTATTTACTTATATATATATTCTTATCATTTGTTCATTTAATCGACAGTTACACCACTCTAACAATGTTGGGAATAAGTCATCTAAACATTCAGCAAAGAATATTGATTGGCCATTAGGTGTGGATTGTTCACAAAGAGTTTATATCCCAGCTAATCAGATTTTAACCTCTGTAACGAATCTTCCTCGTTCATCGCGAAATGATCTAATAGACAAAAGATGTGACAAGAAAATGAATGACTTCACAGTACAATGTGGTGGTAAGAATATTCGGCAGCTTTTTTCATTTTTGTCTAAATTATACCCAGAAGAATATGCTCACGTTTCCGGTGTCCATGTGTGTGTGTGTGTGTGTGTGCGTGTTTATGAATAGAGAGTGCTTTGAGTCAATTAGGAATCCAGATGGCAGCGTTTAATGTCAGCAGAGTAGAGTTTTTTACCAACCAATATCAGTTAAAGAACCACTAGGAAACCAGACGGGAGCACTAGACAGCTGTTTCGTCCTCCTACTTTGGGACCCTTCATCATTACGCACCCACAGGAGTTCGAACCCAAATTTTCTGGTTACAAGGTGAGCTTGTGGACCATTCAGTCAATGGCTGTATACAAAGAGTTACTTGAAGTCTTAGTGAAATGTCGTAACCAGTGGAGTCCACCAAGTCAGGTAAGAGGACAGTTAGTCGGCTATGATATAGGTTGGCGTTTTTTTTGTGCTATATATATTGCAAATCGGTAGAAGTTTGAATTCATGTGCCGCTGGGTCGAGTACCAGTTGCTAAGTGGTCTATGAGCTCCTCCATGTAACTGGATGGTCCTGGGTTCCAACTCGGACAGGTGCGCGCTGATGATTAATCTCGGACAAGGATAAAATATTTCGATAAAGAAAAGAAGACGAAATTTGCAGTATAAAATGATATCATTCTATTTCACAGGTTCTCATCAGCTGCAGACTACCCATCCAGCTCATGATGAAATCCTGTAACCAATCAAATCCCTACAAACCAACACTTGAATATCAATGAGATGCTCACTAGCGACTTGCCCCATACAGGTAGGCAGTTACCTGGGGTTCTAGTGAGAATTCGTGACCAGTAGAGTGCAGCAGGTTGGGTGTGGGGACAAATATTCGCCACCGAAGACATTGGCTAACGGTCGCGCGCTATGTCGTGAATTGACAGAAGTTAGAATTCATGGACTGGCCATTGGAGCGGGTCCCAGTGGCTTAATGGTCTCCTAGCTCGCTAGTCTTGTTACCAGAAGGTCCTGAATTCGAACCCTGTCGGTGGGTTCGTACTGCTGAATCGGAGTCCTAAATTAGGACGAAACAGCTGTCCAGTACTCCCAGGTTTTCCAATGTTTCTCTAACTAATGTCAGTTCATGATGAAATCCTGTAACCAATCAAATCCCTACAAACCAACACTGGAATTGACGTAAATTGCTGTCTAACAATTTTGGCTAGCAGACAGCTCTCACCGCAATATAAGGTCTCGGCCAAACCTGTAACCAATCAAATCCTTGAAAATCAACACTTGATGATTAATTAAAGGGGGACACTGGGAACCAATGTAATTATTAGACAGCTGTTTTTTTTCTTGCTAGATTAGTACACTTCACTAGTGTGCTTTGAACCTTTACAACCATCTGGCTACGAAGTGAACACGTTGCCTTTTAACTGTTGGTGGTTATAGTGATTACTGTTTTGAAAATTGACTTATGTAAAATTCCCATTTGTTATTTGAAAATCCGTTAGTTAGTTGAATTTTAGACTTTCCTATCGATTGATTGGATCGAAGTGTCTGTCTGTCTGTCTGGATTCAACATAGAACTTGGCACCGAAGTGCACCAGTTCGAGTTGCCACCTTCCAAATAGCACACAGAGGTAGACAAGAAGATGAGTGAAGAGAATCAATACAGTCTGACAAGTATGAGAGTGAAACAGAATGGAGAAGAAATAGCTATTCCTCCTTTCCGGCCCACCGCCCCTTTTTTGTTTTTTTTGTTTTCCTCCGGGGGCCTTATTTTTTTTCCCCTTTCCCCTTTCGAATATTTTTTAAGGACCCCGGATTTTCACAGTTCGTTTGGGAAATCCTTTAAACATGTTGACATGTCGGCTTCTTGTGCAGATGTTTCGACGATATCTGGGCATGTAATTAGAATTTAATTGGTGGATGGTGACTAGGAGTGGAATCCGGGATAACGCGCATTTCGTCCTATTTGGGACTGGTTGGTGGCTAGATGTACCTGCATTTCCCAATGAGTGATGATATCCCCACTGAGGCCCGAACCTAGTGCCCATAATTTCAAACGCCAAGGCGTTATCCACTATATCACTTGGGCCACGAGAGCCACCTAGATTCCACTGCTGGTCACCATTCATTGATTAAATTCCATTTGCTGGGGTCAGAAATTCTCCATTGTTCCGGTTATTATAATTGTCTTGGTCTGCGACTGGAGCTTAGGGCTTCAAATACACATCTCCTTTTTGTCCTGTTCTCTGCAATTCTCTTTTGCTGGCTCTACGATCGCCTCTAGGCTGTCATCTTCTCCTCACATGATCTTCTTTATGTCACCGTCGAAGTGACGACCAACTCATCATTACTCATTCGGGTGCCACTTAAGATTTCGTTTGGAGCATGATGTCACCCAACGGCCTCTTCAGTATGTGTCTGGCCTACCTCCATTTTTTCTGTGTGTTTGTTGAGCAACAGATTCTTGATTCGTTCGTTCCCATTAGCTGAATGGTGTGTGCGCTTGCCTTGTAACCAGAGGTCCTGGGTTCGAACTCTGGTGGGTCTTAAACTAGGACGAAACAGCTATCCAGTACTCCATGGTTAACTTCGCTTAGTTTTCTAGTTCGCTAGTTCTCCAGCCGGTGGTCGTAAGCCTGGGAAAAGAGGAAAGTTTGAACGTGGAGCTAGCGACCCTATCCCGAGAGATCAATCCAATTACTACTGAGAATTCAAAGCTGAATTCTTGGTTCTGTTTGGAAATCCTAAATATTCAGATCACAAAATGTTGCCTGATTGCCATTATATAAATGACTTTGAAGTGACACAGAAAACTGCAAGATGGCATTGGTGACTGATTGGTTGCTATGATTGGTTTAAGCCGCATACATCAACCAGGTAGTGAGCTTTCTGGCAAAAATGAATTCAGGTGACCTAAACTCTCTCTCATTCTCTGAGCTGATTCATATTACTGATTGATCGATATCAGTAGTTGAGCACTGTTCACATATCAACCAATAGTGTTTGCTGGCTAGATCAAAGTGATCTACATACTGGGAGGGGGGGGCGGGTAAAACAGTTTCGCTCTTTTGCAGTTAAGTTGATTAGCGATGTATTCGGTTTGATCTCCTCCGATGAGACAGTTGAATCAGTCCGAGCCGTCCAATTTTTGACTAGCTAGCTACATTGGCTAACTGGTAATACTGTGGTGAGTGCTACTTATAATCAGGTATAAGTAGTAGTATATCAGTAAACGAGTTCAGAAAAGCGACAACAATATGTTTCGGACGCTGAAAAAAGGCAATCGAAGAAAAGAACTGTGAGAAGAACGTTAGAAAAACACTGTGCAAAATCCAACAAGAAGCTATCGAATGTGTGGGGTGATATTCGACCAATTTGAAAATGATGTGCGCAAATAAAGATTTATAAAACACAAAATAATTGAGCCAGCAAAGAATATCCTTTCAGATAAAATTCCTTCTCTGGCTCTACATTTATTTACGTAGAATATTCTAGATTAGTACTCAATAACAATCAGTGTTTTATAAATAATATCGGTTTGTTAATTCAGATCACAATGGAATCACTACAGTTCATTAAAGATGCTTAAATTATAATAATAATAATAATAAAGATATAGTAGTAAATGGAATGTCAGATAAAATTAGGAAAATTCCACAAAAATTCAGGATCATTTAAACCTAGATGGCCGGTGGGGTAAGGATAATGTCTGAACTAATTTCTTATGCATGCACAAATTAGGCTTGTTAATGTGGATGGATCCCAACCGGCCTAAGCGATATTTAGTAAACGAACTCTTAAGGCGAAATTGAGAGCAATCTGCTCGGATGTGAATGTCTTGATGAGGAAATTAATAATATTAAACGATTGCTGTGTGAAAATGATTAACCAGAAAAGTTTATTAATAAAAACATCAATCTAAAATCAAAGCACCCCAAGGTACCGACAGTTCCTCAAGAAAGGCCTTATTCTTACAAATTCAGTCCCTTGGAGATAATATCAGCAAGATACTAACACGACACCTTAGAAATATAGTAAAAAGAGCATAAAGTGCTTCTGAATTACGCTGTGTCTTCAAAACCACTCCTCTTTTTACGTTCAGGAGTAAAAGATAAACTGTCTAATTTCGCCTCTTCCATGTGTGTGTGTGTGTGTGTGTATCTACCAATTTAACTACTCCTATGGAGTGAGCCAGTCTGTTGCATAGGCCGTACAATTAGACGTGTTTCCCGTCGGATTTCTGAACATCACCCTGCATAGTGGTTGGTTAAGTAAAGGACAAACAAAATCTATTCGTGTAGTGCTATTCTATCTCATCTTGTGGATGCAGAACACAAGACTAACGTTCACCATGCTTTCATCAGGGTCATTTACCGCATACCAACAAATCTCATTTTTAGTCCTCAGAGTTCGACTACTAAATATTCCTGAGGCTGGCTGTTGGGATCCACATTAAGTAGCCTAATTTTGCGTCCAGAAGAAGTTGATTGGTTCAGACATTGTCCTTACCCTGGCCATCTTTGTTCGAATAATCCTCGATTTTTGTGGAATTTGCCTAATTTTATTTGATATTCTATTCGCTAATACTATTATTATAATTTAAGTATCTTAAATACACTGTGATTCCATTGTGATCTTACTTGACAAATCGATATCATTTAAAAAGCACACTACTAATCTAGAATATTCCATGTATATAAACATGTACGTATATTAAAACAATTAGTCCCTTTGATAAATTTGAATAAGGCATTAAGAAGACAAATTTCGCGAGATGATATCATTTCGTAGTTCCTTTACAACCGCTTTACAACTAACATGGTTAACAATGATAAAATAAAGTTCATAAAAATTACTCAGTTAAATAAAAACAAAAGTACATACTAATGACCAATCATATTTAGATAGGTCATGCAGTCCAGGGTAGGCGAAGATTGAAGTCTATTGATTTTTGTACACACAGTTTAGGCTGTATGTGACCAATCCAAAGTGCTTCCATCACCTTCAATAACCTTGAATTAGAGTTATGTGAGATAATTGTGAAACAGTCATTAATATTTATTTTGTGACCAGACATTAATAAGTGTTTTGCAATGGATGATGCTGGATTTCTATTAAGATTAATCGCGTTAGGATTTTCGATATGATTTACTAGCCATTTTGGAATATGTTCTTTTCGACGACATTGGAACATTCTGTTAGTTCTACCTATATAGGTGTCACCGCAGCTGCAGGTGAACTTGTAGATACAGTTTGAAGTAGAGTCCACAGAATTTCGTCCTTTAATCGTAGGTACAGGGATCGAAAATGTTTGGCAAGTGAGAAAAAGAGATGTGGTGGCGTAGAATGTGCGTTTGATGGCTGATCGAAGTCTTTGAGCTGTCAACTACATAATCTGGTCGCCCTTGAATGGTAGATTAATAAAGATAGGTAGCTTTCTTTGGTACAGAAGCTTCCTTTTCAAGATGTGGTCTATCCTTACCGTGACAATTGATGAAGTTTTCTGGATAACCATTGGCTAGTAAAACTGAATGTATACGTCGAAGCTCATCCATCAATGTATACGTATGTAATTGTAGAGCCAGAAGAGGAGGAAATTATCGAAAATGAAATTCTTTGCTCAATGATTTGGTGTTTTTTATAGATTTCTGAATGGAAATTAAACTGAAGTAATACCCCATTTTATCGATTGTTAGTATAATATATATATATATATTTTCAGTAGTATATTGGTTGTTTTTTTCTTTCTGTGATTACAGAACAGCAAGCTAGTAGTCGTCTTACTCACCTATGGTTACATCATAACTGTTTAAAAACCCTCCGTCTTATTATTCCACCGAATTCTTCAAGTCATACTGCCAATGTCAAGCAACACATTCATTCAACACGTTCACATTCGGCAAAGTCATTGTCTCTTGCTCAAATCTGTCCAAATCTTGTCTATCTAGATGTCAGTTATAATCTTATACAACGACTATCAGATTTATTTCTATGTCCAAAGAGTTTAATACATATCGACTTGAGTTATAATCGTATGAGAACAAATAAGGCGAATATCCGTTATAGCAGTAACAACAACGGCAACAATAATGAAAACTCGAATAGTAATCATGCTACTAATGATTCGTCTTCATTGTCATCTTCAAATCATTCGCGAAATCTGATATCATCGTCAGCTAACGCATCATCTCGTGAGAAAATTTCATACAGGTGAGTATTAATCAGGTTGTGGTTTTTCTTTAAATCCACACTTTCGTATGTTATTTCTATACACTATCACTGGGTGTTTTGCTACCAGTCTCTGGAGATTAAAGCTTTAGGGGATTGATTTATTCTACCTAAGAGTGAAAGCTCTACTATATAACTATAATATTCTCATTACTTACCATGTATATGTTGGTTATATTATATAATAATAACCTACTTTATTCCAAAAACGAGCACTACTTATAATACAGAATGGAATTCTCAGCATTTGTCACAATATCCTGCATCTGATTTACTAAAAATATAAATAAAATTAAAAATTAAAACAAAATAAACCACAGGAATTTGTCAGCGTTCACTATATAAAGTCGAAAATATTCGAAGCATGAATTGAGAATATTAAATAATAATAATAATAATAATAACAGTGAGTTTCTTTCAAACAGTATTGTCGATTCATACGCGAAACTAGCCCTCTGTATCCGTTGTGAGATTTCGTCAGAGATCAACCCGTTGGGGCTGATATGACCTCCCAAATATGTGAAGCGGTCAACGTGCTCTGCCACTTCACTCCCTGTTTCTAAACTAGGATTCAGTGTGGTCCAGTCCTGTAGCATCATCTTACATTCGGTGGGAGCGGATCGCATGCCAAACATTCGTAGATTGCAGCTCAAGGTGTTCAGAAGACTTTGCTAGATTTTGTCAGCATCCTCGCCTAGAGGGGAGGACTATATCATCTGCATATTCTAAGTCAACGAGACTATTATTCCCTGATGGTAAGGAGTCAGTCGCTGAGTCTCTGAAGTCAGTTAGGGTTAATTACATTATTTTACATCTATGATGAGTTTCATTGGCTGTCGTGTTTTTTTTTCACAGCGGGGTGTGGTTTGGGGATTGCTGACCTTACACCCTGATCGAACCTCGCATCTTTACAGGGCTTACAGTCAATCAGCTAGCAAACTAGACAAGATTTTAAGAGTACTTTAGTGACCGGGACCGAACCCTAGACACCACAATTGTAGCGTATAATTATCGGCTAGCATTCTACAGTCGACTCACATGTGATGAGTTAAGGAAAATAAAAGTTTTTTTTTAACCTAACTTATCTTACTTATTAAAGTCGATTTTATGCTTCACTTTTTTTCTCAAAAAGGTCTTACAAGTTATTTAATATTAATCACAATTGATTAATTGTGTTGTTTTTTGACTGTCACGTCATGTGATCTGATCGTCTTTTGGCTTTTGAATTCCATTACCAATTTTTACCAATTTTTGTGGGTTTAGCACAATATGAATAAATAAATATCTTATTCGTCACATTTCTCTCTGATTTCATGTGATAGCCACACATAGTAGTCTGTCTGTGCGTTCGTTTATGTGTAGGTATGTGTGTGTGTGTGGGCGTGTCTTTGTGTCACTTTCAACTAGGCTTCTTTTAAATCGATTACTGATTGATTGATTGATTGAATTATCCACTGAATAGTAACGACAGACAACGGATCTATTCGTAGGTCTTTTTCCTTTTAGCTGAAATTGTAGATATACTAAGTATATAAATATAGTTGATGTTAGATATTGATGATAAAGAAGATTTGTAGCTCAGCTGGATGGTTTTGATGTGGTTGTGTTCACTGAGCTGGATAGTTGATTCGCGAAGCTTTCATTGCCCTACTAGGCGACATCTTCAGTGCATGCTACAATTTGAATTCAAGTGAGCTTTTAGATTTCTCCACGAGTTTATTAATCATCTCTCCTGGTGACCACCTCGGACGTGATTGGTTGATTTTGTGTGTTTTCACACCATCTAGGTTACTTCTATTGGAACTGATTGTTTTCTTTGACTTGAACTTTGACCCTTTCTGTGTGAAGTTTCTTTCTTGTCGACTGGTAAATTTTGTCTATCTCGATGTGTCTATTGATTGATGATTCACTGGAATGCCAGACAGCTTTTTAAAAATTCTCTAGCATTCTTGTTGTTTCCTCTGTCTAATATTTGAACGTTGTCCCAGTCGAATTGACAACCATGGACATCAATTCGACTGGGACAACGTTCAAATATTAGACAGAGGAAACAACAAGAATGCTAGAGAATTTTTAGAAAGCTGTCTGGCATTCCAGTGAATCATCGATCAATAGACACATCGTGTCAATGAACTTAAACCCAAGTTCCTATTGCTAAGAAGACGCTCCGAAACGATAATTACTATGTACTTTCTTCGACCTTAACTCCAAAACACCAGTATTCTTTTTGAAAGTTATATGGTTTGGCAATTAAAGTAAAGATTAATACACGTCTTTATTCGTATTCTTTCATCTTCTTCGAACTTGTATACGATTGAAGCATTCGCACCTTCGAGTTGCCCGCCAATGGCGACCAAGGCCAATGAACCGATGTTCAGTATTCACTTCCATTAACACTCCCTGGCAAAAAAGTGTCCATCCCTTTTTTCCATAGCGCCGATAACCTTGAACTGAACTGCCAACGCGGGAACCTGGGCCAACCGGGACTAGGCTAAAATGGAGAAGCAAGACAAAAAAAGCCCAACACACAACAAGCATACCACATCACACCCGTCTCACCGCTTGTGGGATCTTCCTCAGTGATCGTAACTTCTTTTGCTCTCTGTTGACGGTACCACCACTGATTTGGTCCACGGGGTGTTGGTTGCTTCATGTCAATCTGGCCAATCCCCTCCCCGGCGTGTCGAATCGCATACACTGACTCTAACACTACTCAATTCGTTCACAAGTTAGAAGACTAGAAACGACTTCAGAAGTACTTACAATAACATTACAAGATGATTCACACAGTGCGACAATTATAAACTACACCAACAATTAAATGAATCGGAACCCATACAATTATTTAACATAAATATATGCACAATCAATACGTCAAATGTTGTGGATTCTGCTTTGACGAACTACCTTTGAAGAATTGTAGGACTCACAGCAGTACGCCTACAATCCTTCTCAGGTTGACGCCCTAGGTTAGAAAATCGTCGCATAGTCAAGGTCAGCGACTATTGGGGAGACTGGTGAAACCATAGCAACACCATTTGTTTGGCATTTGTAGCGCATATATTGTCTACATTTGAATTTATAAATAATAGTAATAATAACAGCTTTATTCCAAACAGTCTTGTGGTACAGGTATGGAATTTTCAGCGTGCATTACAATATATTGCATCTAATTACCTCATAAATTTTATAAGATTTTAAAATCAAAAAGCAACACCAAAAAAAATAAATAAAAAAAATAAAGGAACAGCGTTGCGTTTACATTTTAAACAATGCACCACAGGATATGAAATATAAAATTGGTGTGTAATAGAAGATGAGAACAACAGTGTAATAGTAACGAGGAAAGGAAAACAAAACTAATGGGACTATTTGTTAGAGTGCCGCAGTAAGTTTATCGTGTCATACCTAACGGATTTCTCATCACATAACAGCTGTGCCAGATATGGTATTGTGGAGTTTTTGTATTTGGTAGTCCTAGCATATAGCCTCCTATAGCTGCTTCTAGTTCTACCAGATGAAATGCAAGGAGAGAGATGCGTATAGAGAGGATGCTCGGGGTCCGACAATATTGTATTCGCTAGTTTCTTACATGACATAATATGTCTATCTACAATAGTGTTAACCAGTTGGTTTAACGATATCCCACTTGCCCTACTAACGGCTTTTAGTGCCCTTCTCAGCAAAGCAAAGTCTTTCTTAAGTAGTCCAGGAAAGATTAATGGGGAGCAGTAAAGGGGGATGGGTAGAATACAAGAATTTACAAACTGAGAAAGCAAAGACTGCTTTATGCCAGACTGCCTAAATTTCCTAATGTAGAACGTTAAGCGAAACATCTTTCTAGTAACTAGCAAGATGTGGGAAGACCAGGAAAGATCGGTGGAAAAACTCAGCCCAAGGTACTTGACATTAGATGTATTTTCAACCTCTGTGCCGTCAATGATAGTGGGGCCATGTGAGCTAACTAGTTGCTGTAGGTCACATTTACGTCTGAAAGTGAAATTGACTACCTGACATTTAGACGGATTAAGCTTAAGTCCGTTTGAAGAGGACCACTGACTAATTTCCGACAGAAAGTTATTTAATTTGGAACAATCTGACTGAGAGTTGACAGGCATAGAAACAGAGGTCATCGGCATACTTAACAAAAGTGGCTACATCAGAATGAGGCAAGTCATGTAAGAAAAAAGAAAACAGAAAAGGAGAAAGAACAGCACCTTGAGGAACACCAGCTAAAGTAAGTGAGGTAGTGGAGGACTTTCCATTGTAGACGGTGTACTGCTTCCTATCAGAAAAATAGGAATGCAACCACTTATTTGTCCAGCTTTCAGCCTGTGTTGCAGCAAGCTTACTTAGCAAGAGAGACCTGGGAACAGAGTCAAATGCAGATGTGTAATCAAGGAAGGCACAGCGAACGTATTTAGCTCCTTTATCTAAACTAGAGACTATGCTATGGTGGAGGACGACAGCGGCATCTAACGTACTCCTACTATGTTTATAAGCAAACTGGTTGGGGTCGTTGAAAGGTTTTAAAGAGGGATCAAGATTAAGTAAAATAAGTCTTTCCATAACTTTCAAAAAAGGTGAGGTAATTGAAATGGGTCTAAACTTAACATTAGGTCCACTTGTAGATTTAGGCACTGGAACGATCTTGATGTTTTTCCATGATTCAGGTATAATACTTTTGGAAAACGATTCGTTGAAAATGTCAGTTAGAGGGGAACACAAGATGTCGGCACACTTCTTAAGGATAACAGCAGGAACACCATCAGGACCGAGGGACTGAGTAGGTTTGAGAGATTGAAGACACTTGAGGACATCATTCGTGTTAAAGCATGAGAAGCAGTCATTATTTACACTATTTGAGTTAGGAATCATAACATTTGCTGGGATACATATGAAGGATTCATTAAGCATGTTAACATCTACAAAAATATCATTCATTATTTGCTTACCACCTGTGATTTCCTTTAATAACTTCC